ATGTCTATCTGCTTGTGGTACCTTCCGATTCAGTGAACCACGCAAATATCAAAAGACAAAGGCTGGCCTGTGACTGTATATTGTAGTACAACAACTACAACAAAGAACTTATTTAGGAAAACAACACGTGGTATTTATACATTTTTACAACAATACAGACAGCTACAGCATTTGAAATAATTGATCGTAATAGTCAATAACAAAGTGCGTGGGAAATGATGATATACCATTTATGCGAGATTAACAGCCGTTGAAATAATTGATCAATAACAAAGTGCGTGGGATCCTATCACCTCTCCCCGTAAAAGGTGTAGGACTCGCTTTTTGGATCTATTTCAACAGGTTTCGGAGTTCTTCTCTGTCGAGTTGACCTTCGCGTGGTACTGGATAGAGTGTGATCTATGCCCTGGGCTTCCGGCTGCGGAAGATTAAATGTATCTACTAATACTTCTAGCGTGAGGTCTCGTCTCCCATTGTCGAGTCTATCTGACGCATCTCGTATATGATTCGTGTGTCTGACACATAACTGTCCTTCTACATTCACTTTGTATAAAACCCTTCCTTTCTGCCCCACTATTTGTCCTCGAATCCATCTTGGAGGTGAATATCGAAAATCTCGTACATAAACGTGCTGATACAATTTGAAAACTCGACGTTTAGCTCCGTGATGGCGATTGAATTGGTTTTCCATTTTTGTATTTCTGCAACCCTGCTTTACTTGTCTAGGCTTAATTGAGTCGAGGGCAGTTCTGGGGATAACTGATTTGGGGCGGAAGGATTTGGCGTCGTACGATAATGCAGCAAGAATCTATCCAAAATTTCTTCTGTTGTTCCCTCCCCCTTCGCTTTTGCTTAAGCACGCTTAAAGGTGTCGACGAAACGTTCAGCCTGTCCATTCGATTGGGGATGATACGGGGGCTACGAATATGCTGGATGCCAAACAGTTTGCAGAAATCTGAGAACAGTGATGAGGTGAACTGCGATCCATTATCGGACACCAGAACATCAGGCATACCAAAACGACAGGATAGTTGACGTAGGTGGGACACTGTTGCAATTGATATGGCAGAATGCATAGGAAATATCTCTGGCCATTTGGAAAACGCGTCGACACATATTAAGAAATGCATACTATTGAACGGTCCAGCGAAGTCAACATGAACACGGGACCATGGTTTGTCCGGTCGTGGCCAGGAACATATTTCTGTCTTGCGTGGGCACTTTGATGCTTGAGCACATTTACTACTTTTGCGAACGAGGTCTTCGATATGGTCATCGATGTTGGGCCAGTAAACATAACTGCAAGCGATCGCCTTCATTCTCCCAACACCAGGATGTGATGTATGAAGCTGACGAAGCACATGGTTACGAAGATTAGCTGGAACCACAACACGATCAGCAAACATTATGCATTCATCAACGATGGATAAGGATTGGCGTCGCTGGTTTCACACCAAATGGTAAGCCAGTAAACTGGTAGAGACCCCTATGAGTGTTGATTGTTAGCAACTCTCGAGACTTTGGTTCAACTTCTATTTGAAGGTAAGCATCGGCAAGGTCAATTTTTACAAAACACTTACCACCATTAAGTTTGACGAATAAGTCTTCTTGAATTGGTAATGGATAAGCATGATCCTCTAGAGCATCATTTAACCCAGTTGAGAAATCTGCACACAGGCGAATGGAACCATTTGCTTTGCGTACAACAACTATAGGGGCAGCCCAGGGCGAATACGTTACTGGTTTGATGAAACCCAATGCTTCCAGTCTGTCGAGTTCATTCTCAACCAATGTGACAGCAGCATACGGAACTGGACGTTTTGGACGAAAAACTGGCTTCGCGTTTGGCTTTAGAGACAAAACAACTTGGGTAAATTTGTAGCAACCAAGTTTGTCCTGGAAGACAAAAGCGTGCTTTTGACACAGGCGTTGCAAGAGAGACTGATCAGACACACCTACGAGTTTCAGTATATCTCCAGAGGCATTCTTAGCGACATGCTCGGTCGGCAGAATCTGTGGGCACCCATGTTTGCGCCACGTAGTTCGGGAAATTAAGGTGATATCTGATGCCGTATCCAACTGAAGACGAATATGTTTGCCGTTAATACCTAGTGTAATGTACTTACGTTTGCTGGCGAAATCGACTTTGGAAGTTGTGAAAATGGTCTGTACTCGAGGAGATTGTTTCGGCTTGAAACGACTACTTCTGTTCCTCACCGAAGAATTTTTCTGCGGTGGACAGTAACCCTCTTTATGTCCAAAGCGGTGACAATTACGGCATTTATGTTTCTTGAAAGGACAGAGCTTGACAAAATGCCACGAACCACAGTGCCAGCACACTGAAGGAGGTTTAGCTGAATTCTGAGACTGACGTGCTGTGTGCTTAACGGTGATCGGAGGACTTTTCACTGTGTTAATTGAACCAAATTCAGACGAGTGTCGTTTGCACTCCACCATAGCAGTATCGTGCTTCAAGTTGATTAAGCGTTGGCATTCTGCTGTCACCATTTGTAAAGTCATTTTCGGGTCTTGTTCCACGAGTGACAGAAGTCGAGTTCTTTTGTCAGTATCTTCTGGGTTCTTCAACCCACAAATAAAAATCAAACACTTGAACTGATCTGATGTCATTTCGTGTGGTTTGAACCTTTCGCATTCCTTGTTCACTTTGCCAGCGTAAGTGACATAATCATCGGAAGGCATTTTTGTAAACTGAAAACATTGATGCCGAATATTAAACATGGATGACTGTTCACCAAAGATTTGTGATAAAACGGTGACTGTCTCATCGAATGATAACTCACGTGGGTTCTTGGGCAGAATGAAGTTAACATATCTGTTGTGCTCAACAGTACCAAGTTTTCTTAGTAACAATCGGACTTTGGCAGCATCATCAAACATGTAGCATTCAATACGGAAAACGTCTTCGTAACGATTGAACCATGCATCAACTACGAGACCAGATATTGGGTCGTAGTTGAACTCACTGATGGAATTTGAGATGCTTTCATATTTGTCTGAATGAGATGTTGATGGAACTTGAATGGACAGCTTCTGAGTGAGAGCTTCGATTAGTTTTAGTTGAGCTGCTTCATTCTGAACTTGCTGCTGCTGCAAGATAGATTTGAGATCGTCCAGAGAGATAGACATTGTAATTGGGTTGTAATTAACACAGTCAAAAATGTTCTATAGCTGCGCTGAACAGAACAAAACCCGTCGTCGCTTGCTTGTTACAACTGCAATGAATTAAGGTAAACCCCGTCGCCAATTTGTTATAACGGTAGGGAATTAAATGAGGACGTTGTCGCCTTGTTCTCTCTGCGCCTGACTATTATGTCTATCTGCTTGTGGTACCTTCCGATTCAGTGAACCACGCAAATATCAAAAGACAAAGACTGGCCTGTGACTGTATATTGTAGTACAACAACTACAACAAAGAACTTATTTAGGAAAACAACACGTGGTATTTATACATTTTTACAACAATACAGACAGCTAACAGCATTTGAAATAATTGATCGTAATAGTCAATAACAAAGTGCGTGGGAAATGATGATATACCATTTATGCGAGATTAACAGCCGTTGAAATAATTGATCAATAACAAAGTGCGTGGGATCCTATCACACAATAATCCGCCTGAATACGCTACCAAATTTCACAAAACGAATACCATAGTTTACACAATGACTTTTCATACGACATTTTAAGCGGATAGCTGCAACAGCTCTTTAATCCTTTACTAATGTCAACATCGATTTCCGGCCACCGCACGTTGGCCGTGTCAATGATTTCATCTTATCAACCTGCAGATAAGCAGAATGAAGATCATTCAAAATTGCAGATTTGAAAGTCAGAGGAGTTATGATGCTGTCATTCAGACATAGAAATCCTTCAGGATGTACTGAAATCGCATCTCTCCGCTTATAAAAGTCAGGAAATCGTCGCTTACACTGAATATTACAACCTCTTTTTGCTGCATTTATAATAGTCCCATAGTATTTCTGAGTATTGTGTAAGAGTCGAACTTTATCCACTGGTAGCAGCTGGACTAACAAATAATCAGTGTCATTAGGAGAATTTTCAAATAATGAGAAACGAGATTAGAAGTCTGCATGAGGTATATCCTTAGCCAGCCTGTGTTCAATAGTGCAACCACATGCAATTAGTTCTAAATTCCATGTTTGAACCATCACAGCTTTTCTGGTCTTGTTGTTTTAATCTTAAAAGTATGTCTTTGGACTGCAAAATGAATTCACACGAATTTCTAACTGACTTACAACCTACAGCTACGTACTTCAAAGAGAAAATAAAGAAATCTTGTGTAGGATTGAGTCTTATTTAAGACAAAACGACTTTGTATCATACAGCATACTGCTCATATTTTACTTGCGATATGAACGTTTGGCAAGAAATTCTGCTGAGAATTGCATATTGTGCTTATACATCATTTCCGGAATAAAACTGTTATCAGTATCTACATTATGTTGTGCAGAGCTTGAGAATCATTATGCTGACATTCTCTAGGGGAATGTGTACACTCAGCCCACCTCAATGGCAACAGATTATACGTATGTAATAAAACTAATCGGGATCCGATTCTTTCCAAGTGAGGCTCGAGATTTCATAATAGGGCAGTTATGTGTATCAGATAATGATCAGATGTAGTTAGACATAACTACTGATATCTTGATTTCTATATATAACAAGCAGACTCATTTATTCAGCATAAAATCTTGAATATTACCGAATGTTCACAGTTTCTTAGCTAATTTCATTAGATTACTGTTTCACATTTAATTGCATGGGTTATCGAGTTTAATTTTATGAAAATTTCACTACCTTGTCTACGTACCTGTAGTTAATTTTTTCAACTGAAGATGGAATGCTAACATAATTTCCCAATTAGATGATTGCCTAAAGCCATGCTCATTTTTTTAGATATTATTATCCTGGAAGTACATGCTTATTTAACTGCATACATAGTATATGAACAATCTTTTATGGAAGAAGAGGCGTCATGCATGGAACTGATTAAATTTGGTGACACTGTGTGTACTTACGTAAGCCTATTATCCATAATAAAATTCTATAAATTTATCCAATTTACATGAATAGGTTATATAAACATTTGCTCTAATACATTAGTGGATTGAGTGGTGAAGGCCAGTGTGGTAGCATGTAATTCCAAAATAAGTTGTTTATTAGATACATCCCACAGTGAAACAGTGTTACCTACTGGATGACGCTTGGACGCAATTTGTTATTCATAATCATGTCACTTATAAGTTAATAGATATGATTATGAACAATCAGCTGTGTTCGAAACTTCGTCATCCAGTCGATAACACTGTTTCACTGTGTGCTGCATTTAATAAACAAATTATTATGGAAGGTCATTATAGGTTGTTTTTTGTCACACATCACTCAGTGTATTTTGAATTTTCATGTGAAAAGAGTGTCATCCCAGAAACGAAAGCATTCAAAGAACCCAATTGCGTGCATGTGAAAATAGTGTGAAATGCAAGCACACATAGTGTCTATTCATCATCTAGTCTAACCTTATTATGACGTGTTTATCCTGTGATTTCAGAAGGCTACATAAGTTCATACAAGTGCCCTACCAGATATACAATGTATCAGAAAAATTCTATGCAATGTAAATTTTGAAGACGAAAGTGTCTCGCATATACAAATTATCACTGATCAATTATACTAATCAATTATTATTATAATCTAAACTTGAATGAGAAATTCAGGACTTTGAACGGAAAATCAAAATGTTTACTTTATTGTCATCAATCTCATTTCTTGAAACTTACTTAGCCCTAAGTGTAACTTACTACAGCCGCAAATACACTGACTTGGCAAATTTTTTAAGGGGACAAAAATGTTATTTCAGAATTAGTTAAGACCTCTTCTTTAAGACTGTATAGAGAGACTGCTTCCACTTCATGTAACTGTGACTTCTGTTGCTCATGTGGCTGTGCTATGTGCAAGTACGTAGCCATAAGAACATTATTTGAATCAGATGTCGCTTACACATGTATGCAGTTGAAATTGAAGTTTAGTTCATGAATTCATTTTCACACTATGGTCTTTGTTAAATAATCGGTTCAGTTCCAAGCCTGCAGAAAAGTAATTCAGCCTCAGAATAAAGAAAACAGTTTTTTCAAAGTTTATAATATTTCTCATGTCTGCTTTCTCACATAGGTAGACCACTTGTTTACAGAAGTTATTCAAGCGTTTCCAAATTCAGCCTATCAACAGTGCACATTTAAGCTAGAAAATGTCAGCTGGTTGGATGCAGTCCTGGAATTATGGTTTAACGCATCAAGTATCCGTCAGTGGTTGAAACAAAATGAATCTGTCAATTTTTTACACCTTCTTAAAGGTGATTTAATTCGTGCAATACATGCCACACCATATATGCACGGCAATGAATTCAAATTGTTGGATAACCAATTATCAGTACATAGTAAGTGACTAGACGAAATGCGACATTTTTTCTGTTCATTTGGTAAACTATTTAATTGACGGAATATTCATTATTTTCTGTGGAATAAAGTTATTGGAAAATTTGATGGAACACATTCTCTTCAAGATGCGTAATTTTCTAACTTTTATTTCAATATTAAAGCGTCGAATTGATAATGTGCACTTTGCATCACAATGCATCTAGTGGAAAATGTTCGACTCTCCCAGAAGTTCATTCATTAACAGCCTGTCTGACAGAAAATATGTTTGGTTAAAATACAGCTTGAACCCTACCATTAAAGGGTGAAGAAGCAAGCATTTTACAATCCAATAGTTATCCCACATAAGCAAAAATCCCAAAACTAAACATGAGAAAATCTCTCCATGTTGCCTAGAAAGTGCCTGTAAAAAATTCGACAAATCTTAAAACCTATTAGATTAGCCACTGTTAAATGAAACAAACACATTTCTACCGTGAATTCAGTCAGCCAGGTAACTAAGCCGCTAGGTTTTTTCATAGCCAAGATAAATCAATTGAGAAATTTAGTTGTGTCAGTTGGCAGAGTGTTCTGGTGTGTTTTTTAAACAATGTTTATTTCGACAAATACATTCATAATATCACAAATACTTCATCAATTACACAAATATTATTCTTTCTAACCCCACTAGAATGTATAAATGTATTGAGTGATTGCGGGATTGAAGACCGTAACCTGCAAATTAAAAACGACAAAAATTCAGTCAGGAAATGATGGACGAAATAAATAACTTGAAACACAGTACCTACCAGTTAAATGACTGTTTATTCACCGTTATCTGACGAAATTACCAACTCAGTTTCCTTTATTACTGTGAAATTTTGTAAACATAATGAAATCATAATTACCTAGATATTTAACTCTCTACTAATCATTTACGTAAAATACACTGAAACAATTGGAGTTATTTTGCATTTTATATCATAATTGACATTTTCCAACAAATTCTGACATTTCTTATGCACCTCAGTATGTCAATTCCATAAAAAGAGAGCATTTTGTAAACACATTGAAAAAGACAACTTTTTTCACTTTTTACACGATTTTTCGTTACAAATGCGATTTTTAAAGTCCATTTCTGTCGGAAAACTACTAAAAACAACGTAGAATAGCCCAAACACAGCGCCACGATAACGCCTTAAAACTGCAGAAATCAGCTGATTTGTGCCTCTATCCTATCCCCAACGTTTACGCCAAGGAAAATCTACCAATCACAGCTTGCATAAGTGACCTTCAAGTGCTCAGCCTCTCCATAAGCCATTTGTGCCGCTATCCTATCTCTAAACGTTGCGGCTAATACGTGCCTTAAGTTACTGAAGCGGGCTTTGGAATAGCAATAATAAAAGCGGATAGACATTATATTTTCTAGCCTAAGGGACCAAGTTAACATCCAATATATCCAATATCGTTTTTACGAGCTAGTATAAACCAATTTGATTTCTTTGTGCTCGCTTCTTGATTGTGAGGTATAGGTTCTTGATCTTCGGTAAACTTCTGCGTAGCTTGTCCCGCCACTCGACTGTCGTAGCTTTGGTTGACTCCAAAGGGAGTAGTGCTGGGATTAATTATATGTGGTTTGTAGTATGAGGTATGTTAAGACTGTTACTACTGTGATTGGAGTTGATCCTTTCGCCAGTTAGTCCTTCGGTATTGTCGACAAGAGAAGAGAGATAGTAATAATAATAATAATAATAATAATAATAATAGATATAATTAGTGAAGCTATTCAGACTAAGAGACAGAAACGAAAATAGGAAACGTAACAACAGTCAGCTCATTAAGTTTGGAGAATAATATATATATCGGTAATAGTAATAATAATAATAGTAATTATAATATTAATAAGTTGTCAGGAGAGTAAGACGGGAGAGAATGTAAAGAAGTAAAGTGACGAGTTTAATTATCTACCCTGATTGGTAAATGCGATTTTAAGGAGATAGGCCATTTGGATGCAGTCCTTGTATCGCTGCATGGTTGTCCAGCCTTCGCTTAAAGGCGTCCAAAGACGGTGCCATAGCTACATCTGCCGGTAAGGAATTCCAGGGACGACAAACCCGCAGTGAAAAGAAGTGGGAGCGCACCCGGGTCCTTGCCCTCTGGTGAGCTATCCTTCTGGGATTTCCACGTGGAAGCCTATACCTACTCAATGGCAGAACACCTTTGTTTGGGTGATTCTGGTCATTTGTTATTTTGTAGGCAGTAATCAAATCCCCCCTAAGCCGACGGTAACTAAGTGTGAACAGGCCTAATTTCTTCAGCCTTTCATCATATGGTTTGTTTCGGAGACCAACCACTCCTTTTGTTGCCCGTCGTTGGACTCTTTCCAAGAGGTTGGCATCTCTTCTCAGCATTGGGGGTGCAATAATATTATGCACCTCAAGGTGTGGCCTGACGTATGTTTTGTACAACATTAGAAAGAGCTCAGGAGTGAGTGCACCTAACTGTCTATGCGTAAAGTGTATGACCGCATATGCCCTCGCTACATCCCCTGTGTAATTTACGCTTGTGTCCATTTTTTCCGTTAGAACTAGACCTAAGTCGCGTTCCGACGTTGTGCAGGACAAGCTTTCATTGCACAGGGTGTAACTTGCATTCTGCAGTCTACAGGTGCGCAACTTCACTACTTTGCACTTTTTCAAGTTGAAAGTCATGCCACTGGCCACCGCCCAGTCTTCCAGAAGGTTTAGGTCTTCCTGTAGCCTATCTGAGTCCTCCGGACACTTTATCGCCCTCCATATTTTTACGTCGTCAGCGTACAGGAGAGTCGGGCAGCTCAGACGGCGTGGTAGATCATTGATGAAAATCAAAAACATCAGTGGTCCTAGGATAGAACCCTGCGACACTCCTGATGACGATCTGTGCCAAGATGATCGGACTCGGTTAACCTTAGTGCAAAATTGCCTGTCGGCTAGGTAGTCCTTCAACCATGACAGAAGTGGCTCACCTATGCCTGCCTGGTTTATTTTATGTAGGAGAAGGTCATGGTGAACAGTGTCAAATGCCTTCTCAAAGTCTAGGAAGACCACATGGACTGGTACGTTCAAGTCCCAGCATGATGTCCAGTCGTCCCAAGCTGACAGTAGGTTAGTGACGCAGGATCTGCCTTTTCTGAAACCATGTTGGGCTTCATGTAGTATATTAGTCCTATCGAAATATTCCCTGATGTGGTCGTCAATAATACTTTCCAGTACTTTTGATACCACTGGGAGTAGAGCTACTGGTCTATAGCTAGCAGCGTTTTGCCTGTCCCCACCCTTGAAGATTGGAGAAAGGATGGCTCTTTTCCACTCCCTTGGCAGGGTCCCCGAATCCATTGAGTGTTGGAACAAGTCGCACAGGGGTCTACAGAGAGCCTCGGCGCACTGTTTCAGAACAGATGGCCTGATGTCATCACAACCTGGGGACTTCCCAGGTATGAGTCGCTGTAGCTTCCTTAGTACTATTGCGGGGTTTATTTGGGGAGTAGTCGCTAGGTCTTCCTCCTCTGAAATAGTGGTGCCACCATTTTGGTCCGTAACTGTAATATCCACATTGCTGTTTAGCTGTTTAGCGAAGGCTGAACTGAATGTTTCAGCCATCTCCAGACTAGTGAGATATTGACCGTTTGGGCCTACTAAGGCGCATGCCCCTTGGTTTGTCGGTTTTCTTTCCGACATGAATCGGTACAAGTTTTTAGGGTTTGATAGGAGTTTTTTAGCAAGGTTAGCCTGGAATGACCTTCTGTCCCTCCTGACTCTTGCATTACACCGGTTCCTGAGTTCGAGGTATGCATCATGGTCGGTCTGACTCTTAGATACACGCCACGTAAACCAAGCCTTCCGCTTTGCTTGCAGAATACGTTGCGTGCCTCTCTTCAACCATGACGTCTTTCTCTTAGGCTGTGTTGTGACTAAAGGGACGGTATCCGAGATTGCTGTATGGATAATCTTTTTTACCACTTCCCAGTGTTCATCCACAGATAGGTCGTCCCATGCTAAGGGCCAGTCTGCGTCGGACAAGAGCCTCCGCATTTCAGCATAGTCAGCCTTGCTGTAGCACAGACATGGTCGCGTAACATCCCATTGCAAACGCTCACGGAGGACAAGATCGAAACCTATGACTGCATGGTCACTGCTTCCCAGAGGAGTCATGATCTGGACCTTTTCGACGAGTAGCTGGTCACTAGTTAGAATATAATCTAGTTTTGATGACTTTCCACTAGGGCCCCACCTAGTGTCGTCTCCAACATTCTCAGTCAGTCCCGTGTTTCGAATAGTTTGCAGTAGGTTTCGGCCAAATTTTCCCTTAGCACACCCGGAGCCGAGGTTCAGTGATGGAGCATTGAAATCTCCAGCTATGGTGATTTGGTCGTAGCCCAAATCTCGTATTCCTGTGATAGTGCTGAGCAGTAGCTGATTGTGCTCTGCCCCACAGGTGGGAGATCGGTAGATGCCACCCAGTAAGTGCTTGGTGTGGCCTACGGTGAAATGACACCATATGGAGTCTGGGAGTTCGATAAGTGGTGGGTCCGTTGCGCGCACACATTTAAGTTGCCTATCAAAGTATATAGCAACTCCCCCTCCTTCCTTATTATCCCTGTCTCTTCTGACCAGTACCATATCACCTATACTGATTTCATTGTCGGCGATAGTGGGGTTTAGCCACGTTTCAGTAAGAATGATTATTTTCAGTTGAAGGTGTGCTTGGAGATTTCGAAGTTCACCTACTTTCCCTCTCAGCCCCCTCACATTGCTATATAGGCAACTGACAGTGAGTCTAACAACCTCAGAGTGTTGTGGGGTAGTTGACGTGAAACCGTCTGCTGGTGGGGGACTTGATGTTGGAACTAGTTGGCCGATTCCGATAGAACCGGCCCGTTGTAGTTTTTTTCAATGGATTTAGGCAGGACACTTGGGAGACACAGACTATTATTCTCAGAGCTGCATCGCTCTAGTGTCACCGAAGCTTGGGGTCGTATTAAAGCCTCAGTTT